CCGCCATCAAACCACGCAAGATACCCAAGACGGCCGACGACTGCAACGACGTTCGCGGCGAGGACCCGTAATGCACTACTTGGACGTATGTTTTGTGAATGTGTTAGTACAACCCAATTGCAGAACGACTGGATGGCCTTCCTACTAAAGGTCCATTACGACACGCGGTACGAACATCATGGAAGACCTTCCACGCATCAAGTTTTGTGGAAGGGCCGCCGTGCGTCAAGATGACCTCCGACGATTCTACCTGGGAGAGCAACCAGTGGGTACTTGGGTTGATGAAGTACCACCGCGGACGACACTGGCCAAGCGCGAGGGCACTCGCAAGGTGACGATGGCGCATTCATACGAAAGCCTTCTGGGATAATGGCCATCCACCGCCTACGGTTAACACGCTTCGAGAGCAGACGGTGCACGGGCCATCATCAATGTGCTTCGGTTTGCAACAGGGAACTGGCCAGGGCAGCCCAGTATGCTCCGAAGTTACAAAGCCTCTTCGTTGAAGCAGTTCAAATTGCACTCGACATGTTCTCAGTGAATCGTGATCCTTGTTTCGTCATCTGTTCTTGTTGCGAACGCACGTGGGTTCGATTTGGGTGATCCAACGATCCCCCGACATCTCGACGGATACATCGTGAGACCGTCATCAGGAGGACGGGTGCCCCCCCATGTGCTCATGACGTCAACGTGCACTCCCCATCGCATGATAGAGACCCCAAACACTGTAGGTGGTACGACAAAGAGGATTTCTACTGGGAATGTCCCAGCTGCAAAAAAACGATGGCAAGGCTAAGCCTGGTCACTTACTTACACCTGGCAAATGTAAGTTTGCCACACCGTGGAAGCTGCTTGACGGCCGCGGACAGGGGGCGGCAGCTGCCTCCGACGCGCCACCACCTGCGGCGGCTGCTGCTTCCGAGGCACCGGCCGCCAAACAAGTTGCGCGGTTACGAGCTCCGAGACGTCGGTCTAGAGCTGGGCCGACAGCAGGCGCCGGCAGCCGCGACATCACGCTGCTGAGCGGCTGCGGGGCAACCTGCTCCACGCGGAGCCGGCAGCTCGGACGACCGCGCGACTGCCGCCAATAGTAGCCCGACGTGGACGACAACAAGGAGGTAATCCAACTCCACCACCCTGCGGGGAACCCTGCTTCTCGTCCAAGACTTCCAGACTTGTCAAGGTTCGATGTGCGAATCACTTTGCTGAACTTACGTCGCCTTGGCCCAGGCGCGGTAACGCGCGAGTTACGGAGACTACACCTGCGGTGGTTCCGCGCTAAAGAGCATAAGATGCGACTCGTCTCAACGATGGCTGGTCTGGACAGCGTTCGGCTGAATTTGAGAAATGGGGTATGTGATACACGCCGGGAATGAAGGGCTTGAGACATGCCTGGGCATACTGTCATCCCGTCTACTGCTCAACCCCGTAAGTTTAATGATGAAGTCGACTGCGACTTGATGTTCAACAAAGAGGAACTGGAATCGAGATACCAGACAAAACCATGACCAGCATCTTAGACGCGCGCCATCAGTGTCGGATGCAATTCGGACCTGCCAAGTACTTTACTCTGACCTGGAAGGCGCATTCAATAACGGCGCCGCAAAGGCTGTCCCCTAGGCAAAAGGCATTGAGATGAGGATGCATGCGCGTGGATAACACGCTACGACCTTCGAAGCCAGAAGTGGTACATTACGACACCAACTTCACCTCGTGGAGGCTGAAGTCCACAGGTTAGACATACCACTTGTGGTTACCCGTCTATTGCATGAGGCCTTGTTTGCCGCCAGTGCTTTTACCTTTTATTATAAGGTATCTCCATGCAACGCACTGTTCGGCCGACGCCCAACTATGCTACCCGATTTGCTTGTTCTGGACCACGAGCAGCGGGCGGGGACATCGGGCCATACTCGAGAACAGACTATCCGCCAGGTAAGAATTTAAGCTATCACTCAAGCCACTGCAGTAGAGAATGCGAGCCGTGCACTACGGACACATACGGCCATCGCTGGTCAGCACTACAATGACGAAGGGGACCTGGTTGACTATCATCGCCCCACCACTACGAAAGACGACAGGGGTGGCTGGAATGGACCCCTCCCGGTCGCACGGGATGATCCCGACAGGGGTCAAGTCATCATGCGAGTTGAGAATCGCGATGTGCATGTCCAGTGCGGTGACGCGCGAGATGCGCTGCGCATTGAAGCTCTGATTGCACGAGAGATTGGCTCGGACAACACAGCATTACGGACTGTGCTGGCATTCGTAGCCAGTCTACTTGCGGGGCGACCTGCCATGACTTTTGGATACCTCCCGACCAACAAGGGAGTGCTCCAGATGACGAGCGCGAGCCGACTATCTCCCAACGTACACCAGTACCTCGCACGGCCCCCCACCATTCATGTGGTATCAGATGAGGACCTCGCAACCGAGGCATGGCATGTCCCATTTTGTTCCTCGGGCGAAGATGACTGCTACTGGTTGAACTCTGACGGGCACGGACAATATTTTGAGCTCTGTTTTACGGCAGAAGTGTCACAGGTAGTCTTTTCCGAACAACAGCACAGGATATTGGACTTCGACCGTGCGACCACTTTGCGAGTATATGTGACCTCTGCAGCTAAACGAGCTGTACTCGTCAGGAAGGATGACGTTCGCACGAAGGCAGATCCTGGCGAATCTTGTCAATGTATCGAAGGCCCTATACACTGCGCCCGAGACATGGTTTGACAACGAGCGTTCCAACATTCAAGAGATATGCAAAGCGTCAAGCATCGTGACTTCGGGGTACGTATGCAATTCGAAGTTTGTCAACAACGAAGAGGGCGAGATGGAACGTTCCGTGCGACTGCGCTTGGTACTACCGGGCTTTATGGACCTCGACGCATTCGATGTGGAGACGTTCTCGGGGTCGGCGCGGCGGTCGGGTCAGCGACTACTCGCCGGCGCGGCGGCGTGCAGGAAGCAGTGGGCCATTGCTTCCTTCGACATCAACATGGCTTGCCGAAGGGGACTTACTTATCAGGAGCTTGTTGAAGCACCCGGTGAAAGGAACGTGCGGTGCGCTTCGCGCTGCCATCTGGCTCAGCATCTGCGCTCATTTCCCTCCCAGGGTTCAAGCGCGATGACGAGTCGAGACATTGTTAACAGGGCCCCAAACCGGGCGCTGGCACCGCGGGTGCACCGAGAGCATTCTCACTGAAGTTCAGGAAGACCAGGGGAGGGTTTGGTCTTAAACCCATGTCCTACGACGAGGTGTTCGAGACAAGCTCAAACTTTCTTACGGCCAAGCATGTTGATGAAATTGGCATGGCCAGTACTGAGGACACTATCGACAGGTGCGTCGTGTGCGTTGAGGAAGGGAACTTGTGGTAGATGCACGCTCAACGAATGCGCGTGTATCAATTGTGCCGTGGGATACGCAAAGGGCGGCGACGATGATGTTACATTTAATCAAGGCGATAACATAAAACAGCTCCGTCCCATCCAGCATCACGAACTCACGGGGGCAGGTGCTGAGGCCAAGGCATCGAATATGGTTGCCGACATGTCTGTCAGGCCCAGAGGCGCTTTGGCTTGCGCCCTTTTCACGCAAATGTGGTTAATCGCATGCGGTGTGCCACTATCGCGCATGCAATAATCGACCAACGTGCAAGGGCGACGAGTGAGTGCGATTGCCAGGAAGTTGCAGGCCTGCGTCAATAATATCGCCTACCAAGACATGACTCCAACGGGCTAGGTCGACCTGCACAGCGACTCCAGCTACCGGCGTCTGAACGGAGATGCCGATGACGAAGTCGAAGGCTATGGCATCCGCGGGGCAAATCTGCTTAGGCGTGGACACGCATGCTGGCATGCCCGTCGCCCATCTGCAAGTCTCATCGCTTGCAGGTCCGCTCGGGCGACTCAGCGGAGACACTTGCAGCGTCTCGCGATTTGGAGGACTGCTATCCCACGGTCGCCGCTCTGCACGAACTCTTCGCAGGGCCGCTGACGCCCACTCAATTGGAGGATGTGTTTGAGATGCGCTGCCTTTGCGTTGAGGTCACTTTGGCCATCGAGGCTGAATCTGTCGTCAAGTCCTTGTCAAGCAAAGACGGGAAGAAACCGACTGAGTGTACACTTTTGGGACACATCAGTTGGATTCGACAAGCGATGGAGCGAGGTATCGTGCGCTGTGCACAGTGGTGTGACACTCGCGATGCGACTGCGGACGGCCACACCAAAGGGAATATCGACAGAGACATGCTCCTACAAGCCATGGGAGGAACGCAATCCTTGGAGCATGACCTAACACGGCGCACTCTATACAGGGTTGGTCAGACAAGATCGTTTAAGCCGCCTGAGGCGTAGTTATCTGCAGGGTACCTTGCCTGCGAGGTAAATTGCGTGTAAGGTAACTTGCATGCGGGCCAACCTGCCTTGTTGAGCCCGCCTGCTGTTGCCTACCTATAGCGTTTTGCTGTGTAGCTGGCGGCGGACTCACGCCTCGTGTCCTCCCCCCTGATTCTAAAGGAGGTTGCGCAGGCGTTTGTCCGCGGCCGTTTGTGCGCAAGCGGCCGGCCGCCAACATATGACAGTGTCTCTTCGCGAGGCATACCACTAGCCATCGAGACCGAAACAGCCTTCGCTTAGCATGGCTCGTCGCTCCCGCGACTCCCCCCTGCTCTTGGGATTATCGCGACTACGGTATAGCAGAGTTGGATATGGGCTTCGCCTTCTGCGAAGCATTTGGTTGGGCCCCCCACCCCGCTTCAAACTGGCTCTGACCACGCTTGGTCTGGCAGATGCAGCCGCGTGCGGGAAGCGGAGAACGGAGGAGAGGGAGGAGTGGCGCGACGGCGACGACGGCGACGGCGTCGGCGACGACGATGACGACGGCGGCGACGGCGGCGACACCGACAACGACCTGGACAGCGTGGGCGACGGCGGCGCCGTAGACCGTAGACGACGACGACGGCGACGGCGACGGCGTCGGTGGGTCACCTGCGCTGCGCCAGGAGAGCCTGCAAGGCTCCGTGCCGTGGCCTTCGAAGTTGGCGAGGCGCGCGGGCGGCTCGAAGACGGGAGTTTTTGTCTGCTCATCCGCCTCATCCGAGGGCATCGTTGCTGTTGCTGGTGGCGACTGGTTTCTCTGTCGGCTTCGCGGTCAGATGGCGCGGACATGCGGAAACTGTCGTGTGTATGTGTGTGTGTGTTGTGTGTGTGTGTTGTGTGTGTGTGTGGGTGTGTATATGTGTGTGTGTGTGCGTGCGTGCGTGCGTGCGTGCGTGCGTGCGTGCGTGCGTGCGTGCGTGCGCGCGCGTGAGTGTGTGTGTGTGTGTGTGTGTGTCTGTGTGTCTGTGTCTGTGTCTGTGTCTGTGCCTGTGCCTGTGCCTGTGTGTGTGTGTGTGCGGGGGGGGGGTGCGCGTGCGCGTGCGCGTGCGCGTGTGCGGGTGCGTGTGCGTGTGCGTGTGCGTGTTGTGCGTGTGCGTGTGCGTGTGCGTGTGCGTGTGCGTGTGTGCGTGCGTGCGTGTGTGTGTGTGTGTATGTGTGTGTGTGTGTTATGTGTGTGTGTGTGTGTGTCTGTGCGTGTGTGTGCCCAAGCCGGCTTTCGCATTGAGTCGGCATCGGCGCAGCCGCCGTGTTCCGCGGCCAGGGGGGAGGGACCCTAAAAAACGGTTGTGCATTCCCGTGTTGTTCTTCTGTTTCGGCCTCTAGGGTCCCACTTGGGGGCATGGAGCAACACAAACGCGATTTGGGACGAAGAATTCCCCTGGGGGAAGTGGCCCAGAAATCTGGACTCGCGGATTCAAACGAATCATAACTTCGGACATTTGGGGAAGATCCAAAGCTGTTCGGTCACGCAAAAGCCACCGCATGAACGCTGGTTGCTCCAGGCCCGATCTTCTGTGTGGCACGAGTTGTCTGGACGGCGGCAGCGGTTCTTTCAGGATCTACTTGGAGCATGGGGTCAAGCCTGAACTGGGCGTGGGTGGTCAAAATCATTAATCGGCAGGGCACATCGACATCCACAGTGGTTGCAGTCTTGGATTGGATCCTTGCGGAGCGGTGGATGCATGCATTGCTTGCCCGCAGGAGGTGGCATATGTCATAGCCACAACTCCTCGAGAGATCGTTGGGCCCCTGGGGTACGACACCGATGCGGTGGATATGGATACATGGGGTCGCAACAGCTTGCCAAATACTTCTAGGATTAGGAGAGGGGTCGGGGAAACTGGCGGGGAGTTGAATAACAGAGGGGAGTGTGGGTCTACGGGCAGGGTCTACCATTTATGTTGATGGTCGAACCTTCACTTCGAATCCTCCAGAGCGGAAAATAAGAGCTTTCAGAATGGAGTCTGGACCTCCGTTCAGGAGGTTCCCTGTGCTCTGTGGAGGGGGAGGGTAGAGGATCGAAGGTCGAGGCTTTTGGAAGTTGCTGGAGCCTTTGTGCGCACCGTACCGCATTATCGTCTCCCGAAGCGACGTCGATCCTCGACCCGGTAGTGGTACGGCGCAATATTTTTTCGGCTCTCGGAGCCGAATAACTATGCACCGTTCCGCGTTGGAACGTGGCATCCAGGGATTCCATACATGATACGGTGCCTGCACGGAGGTCGGTGGGGACGCGCCCTAAGCGGGGAGCGATTCGCACTCTCGCAGAATTGGACGCGTCAGCGTCCGACCCTTCTCTCCAAACAGTGTCGGCCCGCGCGTCGAAGCTCGACCCGAACCACCCTTGGAAAACGCCAACTGGCACAAAAGTCTGCCCTCGATGGAGCGTGGCTCTGATAATGCTGATGATGTTGATGATGATGATGATGATGCCGATTGATGATAATGGTGATGTTGATGGTGTTGATGGTGCTGATGATGATGATTATGTTTATGCTGCTGAGGTTGATGATGCTGATTATGATGATGATGATGATGATGATGATGATGATGCTGATGATGATGATGACGATGATGATGATGATGATGATGATGATGATGATGGTTGTGGTGATGATGATGATGATGCTGATGATGGTGGTGATGATGATGGTGAGTATGATGAATATGCTGATGTTGATGCTGGTGAAGATGATGCTGGTGATGATACTGATGATGATGATGATGATGACGATGCTGCTGCTTCTGATGATGATGACGATGATGACGATGCTGGTGCTGGTGATGATGATGATGATGATGATGATTGTATGATTATGCTGCTGATGTTGATGATGATGATGATGCTGATGATGATGATGATGATGATGATGATGATGATGATGATGATGATGATGAGGACGGTGAGGTCGACGAGGATGAGGAGGAGGATGATGAGGAGGAGGAGGAGGACGATGATGACGACGATGCGGATGCGGAGGAGGAGGAGGAGGAGGAGTAGGAGGAGAAGGAGGAGCTGCCCGCGACGGGGGCCCGGGGGTCGAGGGGCCGGCCCCTCGCGGCCCTCGCCACAGGGCGGGAGGGAGGTGGAGCCACGGCATGGCGTGGCGCCCCAGCTGGGGCGGCCCCCTTTCGTTACTGTCGAGGAGGAGGAGGACGAGGAGGAGGAGGACGACGAAGAGGAGGAGGAGGAGGAGGCCCTGTGCCTCCAGGCGCTGTGCCTCCCCGGCCCGGGCGGAGCCTGCGGCTGCCGCTCTGGGGGCCCTCTGAGATGACGATGATGAAGAAGAGTCTGATGATGGTGATGATGCAGGTGATGCTGATGATGCTGATGATGGTGGTGATGATGCTGATGCTGATGATGATGCTGGTTGTGATGGCGATTGTGGTGGTGATGCTGATGCTGATGACGCTGATGATGGTGATTATACCGTTGCTGCTGCTGATGATGGTGATGATGATGCTAATGATGATCATTATGCTTCTGACGATGATGATGATGATGATGATGATGATGATGAATGCTGCTGATGCTGATGCTGATGATAATGATGAATGCTGCTGATGATGATGATGATGCTGATGATGATGATGATGATGATCATGTTGATGATGCTGAACCTGATCATGATTTTAATGCTACTGCTGATGATGATGATGATGATGAAGCTGACGATGATGATGATTCGGATGCTGAATACGATGATGATGAATTTGACGATGAAGATTCAGATGATGGTGCTGGTGATGATGATTCTGATGATGATGATGATGATGATGATGATGATGATGTTGATGATGTTAATGATGATGATGATGATGATGATGATGATGATGATGATGACGATGAGGGTGATGATGGTGATGATGGTGATGATGGTGATGGTTTTGCTGATTAGTCTGATGATGATGCTGATGATGATGACGATGAGAGCGATGAGGATGAGGGTGCTGTTGGTGATGCTGGTGATGATGATGATGGTGATGATGCTGAGTATGACGACGATGATGAATATGTTCCTGCCGATGCTGATGTTGCTGCTGCTGCTGATGATGATTGTGACGATGAGGATGATGATCAGGATGATGAGGGTGATGGAGGTAATGATGATGCGGATGACGCTGATGATGATGATGCTGATGATGATGGTGGTGATGCTGCTGACGATCATGATGACGATGCTGATGAAGCTGATAGTGATGATGCTGATGCTGATGCTGATGCTGATGATGATGCTGATGATTCTGATGATGATGATGATGCTGATGATGGTGAGGAGGAGGAGGAGGAGGAGGGGGAGGAGGAGGGCGATGAGGACGATGATAATGAGGATGATGATGATGATGATGATGATGGTGATGATGATGATGATGATGATGATGATGATGATGATGATGATGATGATGATGATGATGAAAATGAGGATGATGATGAAGAAGAAGAAGGATAAGAAAATGATGATGATGAGGAGGAGGAGGAGGATCATATGGCGGAGGATGAGGAGGAGGAGGAGGAGGAGAAGGAGGCGGAGGAGGAGGAGGAGACTCCCAGGCCTCCGAAGCCCCGAGGGAAGCTTCGAGGGCTCTGTGCGGGCGGGGACCATATCGGGACCTCGGCCGCCGCCCGCGGGCGGTCCGCGGGTTGTTGTTGTTGTTGGTGTTGTTGGTGTTGTTGGTGTTATTGTTATTGTTGTTGGTGGTGTTGTTGTTGTCTCTCTGTTTCTCTGTTTGCCCCTCTTTCCCTGCCTCCCTCCCTCTCGCTCTCTCACACAACCGTGTTCTCCCTTCCTCCATGCTTCTCTCCGTCCCCGTTAGCTGCTTCTCATGTGTGCGATCCGACCAGAACTCTGGCGGGACGTCCAGCGCTCCGACCAGAACTCTGGCGGGACGTCCAGCCGCGGCGACGATAGTAGCATCGAGCGTCGAGCCTCGATCCTCAATCCCGTGCCCCAGTACAGTTGGGGCGCGGAAGAAGGAACCCTTGTCGTTAGGGAGGTGCTCCGTGTTCCATAATTCTTTCGCAGTGTGTCTCAGGTTTTCCTCAGGTTTTCGGTGGGAAATCGGAGTTCATTTCTTGAAGGAAGGGGCCTTGTTCCTTATGTTCAGGTTCCTTAGGTCGACGCCCCGAGTGTATCCCGGTCCTTAATCATCATCCTCCCCCAGGTTTCTAGCGCTGGGGATCAAAGTTCCCCTGGAAAAAGTGAAGCTGAGAATTCCGCTCGTGAGGCAAAAACCATATGCCTCCTGAGCACGTTTTTCACTCAATACGTAAGTTTTGCAAATGCGGAAACATATCAATAAACTCGCAAGTTTACATTATTTTCGCGTTTCCAGGCGCAAGCAAAACGCGCAACGCGCGCATTTGAATTGCCCAAAATGCGCGCCGAGCACGGGTCGCAATATCGCGCGAACGCGAGCGGCGCGCGGCACTGAATGCAAAAGTGACGTTTTTGGCGAGACGCGTAACATGCGTGGGCGCGTTTTCGCGCGACGCGAAAAAGCAAGCGCGCTTGCGGCAGCGTTTCGGCGGCGCGGCATTTGGCAGCGCCTCCTCCCCCCCCAAGGTTCGCGACGAGGCGAGTGGCCGACGCCTGGGCGCAGCGGCACAGGGCGCGACAACTGGGCCCGTCCAGTATGCCCCTTCGACCCCCGCTGGAAGCGGCGACC